ATACCTTCAATAATTATATATAATTAAAATCAAACACTTTTTTCTTCCATAAGGGATCTGAAAGATACATATGCAATGTCAAATAATTGTCAAAAGTAAAAGAGGTTTATGTTATTTCCCAGCCTTTAGTTTTGAAGGTAATTTGTTAGAAATTGTTGATGATTTTTCATATCTGGGTGTTAATTTCTCTTATAATGGTAAATTTGCTAAAACAAAAAAATCGTTTATTAGAACAGGCAAGAAAGGATTTGTTTTCAATTATTGTTAGAAAATTGGACCTACCTATCAGTATGCAGATTCATTTACGAGCGTATTTGATAACATAGTAGCACCCATATTGTTACGTGGTAGCGAAGTGTGGGGAATTTAAATATGAATATCATAGAAAGTTTTCAATTAAAATTTTATAAATCATATTAAATTTGAAACAAAGTACTCCAAATTGTATGCTTTATGGAGATTTAGGGATATTACATTTATCTATTCATATAAAAAGTAGAGTTTTGTGCTTTTGGAATAAGATTTTAAGTAGCAAACAAGAATCAATAAGCCATATCTTGTAAGATATGTCACACTCTTTGTATTGCAGAAATGTGTTGAAACTCCCATGGGTGAATAGTGTTTGTAAATTACTAGATTCACTGGGTTTATCAAATTTTTGGATTAATTATGTTGCCACTTCTCTTCCACTGTTAAGAAAATAGACTGAAAGATCAGTTCATTCAAAATTGGCATAGTGAAATGTCAGAATGCAGTAAATGTCTGAATCATAGAAAGTACAAAAGTGAGTTCAGATTTGAAATGTTTTTAGATATTTTACCATCTAATTTAGCTTTGCCAAATTGATACTATTGCCCTTTAGATGTATGAACCATAAATTGCCTGTTGAGTCTGGTAGACTTTGTAATATACCAAGAGTAATTAAGAGTGTGTAACTTATGCAATACTAGCTCTCTTGGTGATGAATATCATTACTTTTAATTGTCAATTCTTTAATACTGATAGAAACAAATGTATTACTGGAGAGTATAGTACTAATGTTAATTCAATCAATGAATAGCACAGATAGGAGTATATTGTTAAAACTTGCAGTATTCTGTAAATATCATAACAGCATGTAAGTAACTGATAACTAAACTTATTTTCATAATGTAACACTTTCGTTTTTGATTTATATTTGCCAGGTAGCACATTAGTATATTTTGTGAAACTTTTTTTATGATATTTCATATTATATGTATATAATTGTACATGTGGCGGATGCCTCTAAGGGGCCCAGCATTTCAATAAACTGTTCAAACTGTTCACCATAACGTACACATTGATTAATTACTATTTTATTCTTACAATGCCTTAAAGATATTGGCCACATTTTTTTTGTAAATATAGAATTTTCATATCTGTAACTCGAAAATAGATGAAAATGTTTATGGTAAGGCTTTGTGTACCCCAAACCATTATCAGTCAGAGTTTAGTATTGATAACGTCTTTGTTTAATTTTGAGGGAAACGGTGATATGCAGCGATTAATGTGCAAATATGACATTGACATTTCGAGATAGCAATTGTTTGTTTATGGTTATCTAAAGATATAAGATTTGTCCTTGAACTGACGGGCGGGTATAACTTGGTTAACATGTGTGAATCAATACGATATTGATATAGTATAAGTGAAAAAAGGAAGAAAAAAGAGTTTTGCAGTAAATAATTGAAAACAAGCCATGTGTTGTAAATATTATAAATTATAAAAAAATCCTGAATTTGGTCTTTTTGTAATTCATCCCATTTTTTCATTCTAGAGTGTGTTCTACTTTCAGTATTGAAAGAAACCATTCTTTTAATTTGACATGAACAAAATGCATGTAATATTACTATGTATACGTTAGTGTTCATCCGTGCTGTTCTACTTAGACGGGAGCGATAGCGTCAGGAGAATATTTCTCATTTCTGTAGAACAGCACGGATAAATACTAACATATTTAGTGTCAACCTTTATTTGGCCTCATTATCATTCACTTTATTTCGTCACTATGCGGTTCTATGAAGTACTATGAAAAATAGGAGTCGACTATGGACGAATTCGATATATATATGTGGCAATAGATAGCCTATAAGGATGTTTGAGGTCAAAGGTCAAGGTAAACATGGCACTTCATGTAAAATCCTTGTCTGATGTATGGTTTAAAAGGAATAAACCATGGTTTATATAACATAGAAAGATCATTGTTCACAACCAGTAGATAACACCTAATATTTTTTAGGATTGGATCAAAATTAAGGGTCACAATTATGCTAAATTTAAACGTTATTGACCAATCAATAACTTGTATAAATGGCATCCTTGTACTTTAGCACATGTCTAGTTAATTATGAAATTAATATAGATAGTGTTATCTGATTTGATATTTATTTTGTGTGCTCGACTTAATTATCTCGTGTCCATGACTTAGTAACTCGTGGCCACGACATAGTTACTCGCGGCCACGATTTAGTTACTCGAAATTTTATTTTATCGAGTGGGCCACGAATGAGCATTCTATTTTTAAAGCTCACAAAATGAAATAAAATTACATCTTAGACAACAAACAAATAAATTTTCTTTTTATTTTATGCTTAAAACAATTTAAAACGAAATTTTCTTAATATTAACTTAAATATTAAAATCTTTTTTCCCCACTGGTAACCTCTATAATTCGAATTTCTCATAAAATACGATAAGTCTTTTTTTGTGCTGAAAATAAGTTCGACAATCAACGTTGAATTGCGGTTATATTATTCATTTTATTAAAAAAAAATATGAATGATCCGTTGTTTCAATAATAAAAACAAACAATTCTAGTAGAAGAAAAAGTCACACCATCCAACCTTATTTCCGTTACTTACTGCGAATTTATATTATATTAGACCTGGCTTTGTGAAATGTCAATCGGAACGTCCTTGGCTATTAACTTTAATAACCTCGAAAACGATATGGATTGCAAGTAGTTCTACCACGTGGTTTTAGATGTAAACATAAACAGAGAGTGTTATCTTCGACAATGTGAAACGAATGTATATATTTGACATCCAAAAGAAAATTTATTATGTTTCGGTACAATTATGACTGAAAATTTTTCTGAAAACCAGTTTTGATTTAAATATGCCCAATGATGCACAATGCGACGTCAACAGGCTGGCATTTTGTACTTTCGGTTTCTACAGCCATAATAATAACAATACAAATAATGTATTGTTTGCTTTTGTGTCTATGAATTATCTTATTTTAGGTGGTAATTTACTAGATATATTTGAGATAAACTTGTCAACAACTCCCAGCATTAATTACATGTCTAGTTTCTTAGTGTAGGTTAGGCCGGAATACCGTATCCGTTCTGTGTATTCATACTATTGTGTGCGAAGACTTACGGAAAGGGCCGAAAAGTTGCGATTGGTGAAATGTAAGCTGCCACCATTTTTAAAAGTTGTGCATTTCACGGGAGGAAAATAATTGTGTTTGATTCAGAGGGATATCATTTGGATTTGTTAGTCATACATATTTTTAGAAGAAAGAAAACTTATTTGAGGATTGTTACAGACAATAAATAGGTGTTGACCACCGATGCTTGGGGGTCAAATCCTGCCCCAACGTGATACGCCCTGTAAACACTCTATAAACTATTTTAAGGTGATTCCGCTTTGTCAGCCATGTTTGTTTTCACAAAGTCTGTCCAAAGTGAAAGTAGGCCAAAATTCTTATAACAAAATAGCTCAAATTGTTATATGATTAGCCATTTGCAAGTACACTTCCAGTTTTATGTTTTAAAGACTATTTTAAACAAAAATAAAAATGAAACAATAAGAAAATTTACCTTGAATGGGCTAAATTTCTGAAGACCAAAAACATTCTGTTGCAAATTTTTATGCACATTTCATGAATGGCAAAATCCGTTTTAAAGTCTGTTTTAGTGCCTACAAAAGCTATTTTTTGCAGAAAATGCAAAAAAAACTTTAAAAAAACCATAAATCTTAGGAAAGTAGTTTATCTGACCTTGAAAAAACATGGCCACCATGACATGTGTAAAAAGTAGTACCATGAAAATAAACATAATTTACCTATTTCTTGTGTACATGACAAACAGACACACTTCACTGTTACACATAAAAAGGTTAGATTTTAAAGTTTGATTGTGTTTTCATTTTAATTGTAGTTCATAAGGCTATAAATGATTATTGTTTTCTTGCACTACTTTTTTACAAAAATAATGGAGGCCATGTGAAGGACATGAGATAAGGATTTATTTGGAGTTAAGTTTTGAAAGAATTTTGTATTTGCTGCAAAAACTAGCTTTTGTAGGCACTAAAACAGACTTTAAAAAGGATTTTTCCATTCATGAAATGTGCTTAAAACTTTGCAACAGAATGTTTTTGGTCTTCAGAAATGTAGCACATTCAAGGTAAATATTCTTATTGTTATCATTTTTATTTTTGTTTATAATTGTCCTTAAAATATAAACCTGGAAGTGTACTTTCAAATGGTTCATCATTTTACATATAGAGCTTTATTGTTATATGAATTTTGGCCTACTTTCACTTTGGACAGACTTTAGTGAAAACAAACATGGCTGACAAAGCGGAATCACCTTAATATTTTAACACGAAAGGGACATCCGTTACAACGATAAAACTGGTTTCAAACAATTTTTACATATATGAAAAAATACCGTATACCATCAAGTCTCAATGAAGTTAAGATTCGTGTTTAAATATTCAAAAAGTTTTGATAGTGTTTACAGGGGCGTACCACGTTGGGAGCAGGATCTGTGGTGTTGACAGATGCTTAAACATTCAAAAGCGGCTAGGAAATTGGAGTTGAATGGCTGCCTTAAGAACACTGAGTTGTTTACTTATTTTTTGGGCTGACAGCTGCTATTGCTTATCATGTTTTCATATTTTATTAGACAGTTATTGCTCGTAGGCTACTTAAATATGCCGAAAATGATATGAATTTATTGTATTTTTCAGACTTTCAAAATGAAGCAAAAAATTTACAGACGATATTTGGTGATTGGTAATTAGAATAAATTGAAGTAAGTTTTCTTTTTTTTTATTACTTTGACATTCAAGTTATTTATCAAGTTTAGCTTTGCGTTTCTCTAAACAGCCCTGACAATTCTAGAATTATCAGCAACATTATAATTGAGGTACCACATGGGGAAAACTTTAAAAAAAATAGTTTTATCATTTATATTAAATTGATAACTTACACTGTAAATTATCAAATATAATTTCACAGATAAATCAGTAATCCACTAAAAAGCATGAAATAAAATTTTGATATTTTTGTCATTTATTTGCCTGAGTATCCCTTTAAATGTTTATGCAATATCAATATGTATTCAGTATGATTTTATTAAGAATACCTGAATGTAGCCCCTTCATCATCTCAAAAATTCTCATCTTACCGTAGTTTACTCGACATTGACTTCATAATCTTAAAACATCTTTATTAAAACCTAGAGGACTGTCTTGACCGTTCAGAATTATATGGAATTTACTCAGTGAATGTGAGTGAAAGTATCGATTCTGAATACGACCCTATGGCAGCATGTTAATTTATTTTTATTTATACAGCTCACTGATCATTTACAATGGCATTTTAAACTAAATTGTGGTGATCTTAATTGATTTAGGTTAGTTGGTCGATTAAGTTGTTGTTGAATTATATTTGGTTGTGAAGTTATATTTGTTTGGTTACATATATTTTGTTATTTGTGGAGTTGTATTGGGTGATTTTGTCTTGTCAATACTATCATAGATGATGGTTTGTTTCTAAAGATACTTGAAAATATTGGTTGTTTTGGTTTAATTAGTTTTTTATGTTAATATTATGCCGTGAAGTTAATATGTTTGGTTGAATGTTTATTTTAGAGTTGTCAAAAAATTCCTTTCGTGTACTTCATTTTCTGGCAATTTGTATTGTTTTGTGATCTGATCTGTGTTTCGTTGTTTCTGTATAAATGGATATAAAATGAAATACCTAAAAATATAGTGCTAACATAGCAATTACTTGCTAGTAATCCAACTGAGAATATTTCCTAAATTCAAGTCAGTGGAATGATATATTGTCTACAAAGCTTTACAAAGCTAAGCTCTCGGCATTAATTTCACACATGAGAACTTGAATGTAGTTTTATATAAAATAGAGACCCCATGGCGGGGCAAATTTTAATCCTTTAATCATTTAAAATAATTTTGTACAGTATCAAACTGTATTGTTTCATGCTAAATATTTAAGCTATGTGCATTGTATATAAGGAAAATATTTTAAAGAAACGTTTTCTATATTAGTCTATGGAAAACGATGTGACTCTAGGACTGTTTTTGACCATTAGGGCCATGACTTATATTACGTTTGTAGAGGTAGTGTTACATCTTAAATGCAGTTTCATACAAGAAGACTTAAAATAATTTCATGTGTAAGTCTATATAAACTAAGTGATCAATGTTTTTCCAAATAACATGGTTTACATATTTTGAAGGATGCTTTACGCTTAAATTGATAAAGCTTAAATCGATAAATAACTGGAATTTCAAAAGGTAATTTAAAGAAGAAAACTTACTTTTTACTATTTTTGTTTTCAAATTACCAATCACTAAATATCCTCTCTTAAATTTTTGTTTCGTTTTTATGAACTGAAAATACAATTCCTTCCACATGCAAAACAGCTCTTAATGGCATTTGGGCATATTTAAGTATCCTTAAAGCAATAACTGCCTAATAACTTGAAAAGCACTGTCAGTCATCAGCCCGAAGAATAAGTAAACAACTCAGTGTTCGTAAGGCAGCCATTCGAAAATTCCATGTCTTCCAATTTTCTAACAGCTCTTTTAAATGTTTACACATCTGTAAACACTTATTTATTGTCTGTTACAATCCTCAAATAAATGATATCCCTCTGAACAAACACAATTATTTTCCTCCCATGATAAACACAACTTTCAAAAATAGCGGCCGCTTACATTTCACAGAGCTTGGTCAAATATAAATTCGCCGTAAGTAACAGAAATTAGGATTGATGGTTTTACTTTTCCTCTTACTAGAAGTTTTTGTTGTTATTAATAAAACAAGCGATAATTCATATTACAAATGTATTTGAATAAAATGAATAACATCATCGCCATTTAACGTTGATTGTCGAACTTATTTTCAGCCCAAAACTTTTTGTATTTTATGAGAAATTCGACTTACTGAAGCTACCCATGGTGAAAACAGATTTTAATATTAAAGTTGATATTAAGGAAATTTCATTTAAACTTGTTTCTAAGCAATAAATAATAAAAAATTGTTTGTTTGTTGTGTAAGATGCAAATTTATTTCATCTCGTGAAATTTAAAAACAGTATTCTCACTCGTGGTCAATCTAACTCGATGAAATAAAATATCATCTTACACACAAACAAACAAATATCCTCTTTATACTAGCTTTTTATATCACATATAAAATGGACTAAATGGGAATGAAGTCTCCATGCATGCACGTTTTATTCGGTGTTCCAATGATTTGATTACTTTTATTTCATAACATTTGAATAAAAGCAGGTACATATATAACTAAAGTGTTAGAGTATCTTGATATTGGACATGTTTGGTATATTTTCCAAGGGTAAAGTGCACAAAATCAAACAATGAACAAATCTGATATTCTAGAACCTATATTGATACAAGGGGTTTAGGTTAAGCTGCAGTCTCCCTTACTCCCGACAGAGCCCAGGACAACCCCTGTAAGTTACTGGGATGATCCGGGACGATACGGAGTGAAATTATTGTTGCGGTCACACATACCCCGGCAGTAATTCCCAACTAACCACCAGGGATGCGCCCCGGACCATCCAGACATAGCCAACATGAAGCTACGGTTCATGCCGATGCTTCCACGGTCGTTCTTGGATGACGCCTTAAGAGCCCCGGAAGACCAGGCAGAGCCCCTGCAGAGCCCAGGACGATCAAGGCAGAGTCCCGGTAGAACCCCGATGGATTGAAAATGCGCGAACATGATTACATTGATACATAATTTTTATTTAATACTATATCCATTGTTCTAGAACAGTAATTCATGATGATTTTCTAAAAAAAATTCATGCAAGACTGGATAAAAGGTAATTGGGAAGAGTTTTAATATTAACAAGTGAAATAATCGCAAATTGTCTTGATTCTTCTGAAATGAACCGGGCTTTGCCGATGCTCTACCGGGATCAACCATAGCTCCCTCGTCATCTTCCAGATCACCACGGACGTCTACCAGGTCTCTGTCTGGATGTTAGTGAGACTGTAGCTTTAAGTATGGTCATTTCAAGTAAAATAATTAGGAATTTTAGTCGGAAGTACAATATAAATACATAAAAAAAAAAAATTTGCATTCGTAAATTATTTTATTGTTTTCATCTGATAAAAGACTTATTCATTTTTAAATATACAAAGAAAAGGTCTAAAGGAAGCAAAATTGAAAGTATTTCTAAAATGAAATATACAAATTTGCAGATAATAACTTGGTAATAAATTTGTCTTAAAGATTAATCAATATATATATATATATATATATATATATATATATATATATATATATATATATATATATATATATATATATATATATATATATATATACAAAAATGAAAACAAGTGCCGGAAAAAAGTCACATATAAATAAAACAAAAAACACAGTCCATGAGTTAACTTATTTACACATTTGCCCTGATGATCATAAGAGAAACCGGTTGGCAAATAATTAAATAAGTTAACTCATGGACTGTGTTTTTTTGTTTTATTTATATATATATATATATATATAAGAATGTAAAATTATGTTGTTTTTTTTTAAAGAGCAAAAAAAAAACCAACCCACAACATCTTTGACTTTATCATCCTCGCATTTAATATATTACACTTATTTTCAGGTTTGGCGCAGAGAGTGCAAAACACAACAATGCTCGTTGTCTGAAAAAGCCAAAGATAATTTGGCAATGGCTTCATATAGCGCTAAAATCGTAGAGAAGAAATATAATAACTGGGTTAAAGCTCAGTTAGCTGTACTATTTACTAAAGAAGGCATTGAACCTTTTATATGTAATGAAATTAAACAATTTCAATTGAAATGCTTAGATGATATCTGCTACAATAATAGACTACAGAGTGGGACTCTATGCTCCAGTTGTTGCACGGAAAATGTTGTAAAGTGTCCTACAAATAAGATATGTAATGTTGGGCGTGGAAAATGCAGTTATCATAGAAATGCTGCAACAAAGTTTAATCCTGCTGGATGTCCAAATCAGATATGTCACGATTTCAAAACTAAAATTCAATGTGCGCACAGGTTCTACGGCCCGTCATATAAAAACACCGATGCTTCACAGTGGTGCAGTAGTTCCTGGGAGGTAGCTAAATGCTTCATGCCACCAGATGGATATGCAGATAAAATTTCTTTTACAGAAACTGATTTCAATGGAATCATTAGCGTTATCATCAACTTCAAAGACTTTCAGGTCAGAGTACATGAAAACCTCAATAACAATACCAATATATTTGAGCAGGTAAACAATATTTGAATACAATTTAAGAAAAATGTATGTCAATTAATCAGACATAGCATTGTTATAACATAAATAGGTTTTAAGCACATAGTAAAATTAGAATCATGCTATAATATGGAAACTTTATTTCAGCACAACGTAGTAAAATCTAATATTTAATTATTGAGATTATTTCATGCATTTTCTTAAAGAAAAAGACTCAAAAACAAACTTTATAAATTTTTGATTCTTATTGTCTGTTCAGAGATTGGCGATGATCAATTTTGATTTCTAAATCTGTGAACTACGAACTAAATTAAGCAAATTATCTCATTTCAAACTTATAAGTATTAATCGTTAACTGTTTTTAAATTCATTAGGCAAAGGTTATTGGAAGGCATGTTAGGCATTCGTCTAAATTAGAAGTAGAGGATACAGATCTTCAAAAATACTTCAAAGTATTACAACAGCTACTTTCTGATCCTATACATTTAGCTACAGATGTACATGCGCAATCTGCCAAAAAGAAACTTACAGAGGTAATTACAGTTTTTAAATATCACCCTTTACAGTTATCAATTTTACGTAAATTATTGTTGGGTTAGAACCTAGTGTTATATCATTTAATTGTGACTAAAATGTCCATACATCTTTTAATCTACAAATGTGTAAAGCTGTGTGATGAACAATATTATGGATCTTTAAAATTCATTGATAGTGCATTATTTGTCTATTGATTAATATGCATGCATTTTTTATATTTCCAGCTAGCAAATGACACTTTAATCATTTGTAAAGACGATGTCAAAAAAGCACTTGACGATGTGGCAAAAGCAGTTCAGGATAACACGAAGACTGCAATAAATGAGGAATATGAAAAAATTAAACTAGACATGATAAAAAGAAGACAAGAAGATCTGTTATCTCTAGAGTCAAAAACTTCTGAGGGAGTGACGCAGATAGAATATTCTGTAAAAACTATTAAAAGCGTAACTGAAAGCGGACTCCAGACAATAGAAAATGAAAGAAACAATACAATAACAGTTCTAAACGAAAAGAAAAAGGACATAGAAGGAGCTGTAGAAATTCATACTAAAAAAATGAAGGAGGAGTGGGACAAGAAAGTCGATGTTATTAAGGGTCAGGGGAATGAGGAAAGAACAGCCCTAATCAATTTAGGACAGACTTTACAGAAAAGCCTTGTGTCGATGAGTACAAACGAGAACGAAGAACAATACATCGATGCTAAACGGAGTAAGTAATTTTACATTAAATATATTGTAAATATGATTACATGACAAAACAGAACATAGCAAATTAGTTCGTAATTGATATATAATGCCTTTCCTCGTACAACATCATTTAAAATTCACGTAGTGGCAATGTTTATTTCATAATTTTAAAACTTTATTCACTATCAGTGGGAAAATCACCACCTGGCTCAAACGAATTTTGATAGAATATCAAATATATTTTATTATAAACCAGTATCATTTAATTCAACCAAGACTGATATTTTGCTAAAACTTCGGGAATTTTAAATTCCATTTATTCATTGAATAATGAACAGGTCTTAACCAATTCAATAATATGTGAAAAAAAACACGATCTGAATAAGAGATTGTAATTATTTAATCCCATGTGAATCAAACCCTTTACATGTATTTTCACAACACTTCAGTATTAAAAGTATGTTGTTATGGAATTATAGGTATTAAAAAGCTCAAGTACTCAAGTACACCATTTTAATAGATCGCCTCCGTGGTCGAGGGGTTAGAGTCGATGGCTTAGGCTCGATCCCCGGGAGATAATTTGGTAGTTTAGCGCGGAGGAAGGTAGTCTAGTACTGGTATAACTCTCCGGGAACGATGGTTAGGAAACTACCTGCCTATAACTGAAATACTGTTGGGTAAAGGCGTAAACTGAAACAAACAAACAAACAAAGAAACAAACAAACACCATTTTAAAAGTTTAAATCAAATGATTTTTCTAAACCAGCTAATGTAAGTTTTTATCTTAAACGATACGAGACCAAAAAAAAACTGCTTATTCCTAATTTGAATGAGTTTCTTTTTTAATATCTCTTAAACAGATATTTTTACTTCAATAACTCATAATACCAAAAAGAAATATATAGCTCCTTTATCCATTATTTTCAAGACCTAGAGTATAGATATTTTGCATAAGGCATTGTCTGCAGGACTTCTACCAAGATTGATCAAATTATAGCCCTGTTGTCAAAATTACTCCGCCCGGAGGTAATGTGTTTTCTTTATATTTATAAAGTAAAGCTATAAAACATCTACAATGGCTATAAATAAGATATTTATGATGAAACTTTGTTTAATGACCAAAGTTGTCTAGTAAACCTCTTTTAAGATTATCCAGATTTTAGCTGTGGTGTCAAAATTGGCATATCTGCTTTTCTTCAAATCAAAGTTAAATAATGAAAGGGAAACAACTGATATTGGAATGACTTGTATAAATGTAAACATGTTATGCTATATTTTTCTGAAACAAAAAAAAATACAAGAAAAGCATTGATGCAAAGCATCAAAGGGCGTCCAAGCAAGAAATGCAGCAAGTGAAGATGAACTAGTAGACATATGATGACAAGATATTCTTATAAACTACCAGAAATGTATATCACTTATGAATGAGCGGACGAAAGACATTGTTCATTATGAACTTTGATTGGCATGCTAGAGATTAGAATATTACCTGTTATTTCTTTATGATCGTGGTTTTTAATAGCAACGGATATACATGTATACAATCATTCATAATCCATATGTGTAACGCATGATCAACACGTACCACACCTTTGTAATTGTCCCTTATTGTGTTATCGCTATTAGCGAAGACCCAAGACCCCCTATTAAGGTATCTGTTCACACTCAGTAAAAATATGACACTGGTTGTATTACCATGTTGATCATGTTGAGCATAATTGTTTATTATACAATAATTGTAATATCTATTAATTTTAATAAAAAAAATACAAATTTTATGAATATTGTTTTCTTTTCTTTTTTGTGTTTTATGTGCTATTTTAATACTGAGTTTTTATGTTAACGAGCGTACTACTCTTTTTTTTATTAAAATTGTAAATTAAATTTTAAGACTTCAATTGTCATATTGACCGACGATTATAAGTCAAAACTTAACTGGAAAAAGTCAGTAAATTATGGTTTATCTTTCAATATATAATATTGTTTATTCTTAAACCATGTACATGTACATTTGTATTTTTCTTTATCATTTTTTAAATTGTCAATCAATTGAATAATTCATAAAATTTAATTTGTAACTTTGAATAATTCCTCGGCATCTTTACTAAACACGGATAACAAATTAAATAATATGTTTCAAAGTTGATAATGTCATATTAATACCATAAAATGTACCATTGTACATATTTATTGTTTTTATCTCATATAGATAAAATGAAACATGCTATTGTTGTTGTTGTTGGTATTTTTTATTGTAACGATATCAAACATCTACTCAAAAACCGGGAGAGACCGGACAATAAACGTGTGGTACTATTCGCCGGTCACTAGTAAATCCCGGTCAAAATAGACCGGGAGAGACCGGGAATTACCGATAGGAGTGATAAATAGATATATCTATAAATAGATTTTCGGAATATTTAGGTCATCAACTGATTATTCTAGGATACATGTACAACAATAACATACCATGATAACCCACTGTGTACTACAAAATGATAAATAAAAAAAACCCGAAGAGCGCGATTTATTGACAGAAAATGTTATTTCATTTGAAAATGTTGGCATTGCGAAATTCTCCAGTTCGCTATTCATTGTAACATATCGCGACATTTCATTGTTAATTAATAATCAAGCACCCTCATACCGATCGGAATGAACGGCTTTTATTATGACCGTCTAAAAGGCTCGAGAAGTTGCTGTCGCCCTTTCACAAAATCTGATTTCATTCCATCAGGGCGCGGCTCGACGCGCTTCGGCGAGGACGCCAATTATAGCTTCGAGTTTGTCTAAAGGTCATGACCACTAGGAAGAGAGATGTCTAATTTCAGAGAATCTTATGAAATAATTTTAGGTCATGACCTCTAGTAAGGGTGAGGTTTATCTTTCTGGGATTTTATGAAATGATCTGAGCGTATTATAAGGACATTATGATTCACACCATGTTTATTATTATGTCTCCCCAATTTTTTTTTTAGGCATATTATTTTTGCCTTCGCCGTCTGTCTGTCCGTCCGTCTGTCCGTCCGCATTAAACTTTTCCGGCCGTCACAGGTCAAACTACTGTTGGGTTTTCAGGAGTGATCAGTGCCATACCTAGTTGTACATATCGCCGGCACGTTTCGCTTCGCTGCATAAAATGGACGTCAGAGCTAAAAATAGAGAAATATTGTCTGGCACTCACAGGTTCAACTACTGGTGGGATTTCAACCAAACTTTCCAGGAGTGATCAGGGATAACCTTAGTTATGCACATCACCGACATGTTTCGCTTCGCTGCACAAAATAGCCGCCAGACCTAAAAATAGAAAAAAATCTTGTCCGACTTTCACAGGTAAAACTACCGGTGGGAGTCCAACAAAACTTCACAGGAGTGTCAGTAATATCCCAAGTTGTGCATTCACCGACAAGTTCGGTTTCGTGAGAGCTAAGATAAAAAAATATTGTATAGCTTTCACAGGTAAAACTACTAGTGGGATTTCAACATAACTGCACAGGAGTGATCAGTACCATCTCTAGTTGTGCATATCGCCGGCATGTTCTTCATCGTTGCCCGAAATGGCCGCCACAGATAAAAATAGAACAAAACTTGCCCGGCTTTCACAGGTCAAACTACTTGTAGAGTTTCAACCAAACTTCAAAGTTGTGATCAGTACTATATTTAGTTGTACATATCCCCAGCACGTTCCACTTCCTTGCAAAAAATGGCCACCAGAGCAATATGTAGAAAAATATTGTCAGGCTTTCACAGATTATAACTGCCGGTTGAATTTCAATGAAACTTCACGGGAGTGAATAGTACCATCCTAGTTGTGCATACGGCCGGCATTGTCCGCTTCGCTTCACAAAATTGCCGCCAGAGCTATATATAGACAAAACTTTTCCAGTTTTCTCAAGTCAAACTGCTTGTGGCATTTCCACGAAAACTGTACAGGAGTGTTCAGTACCATTCCTAGTTGTTCATATTGCCGGCATGTACTGCTTCACTGCACAAAATTGTTACCAGAACTAAAGTAGTTGTTCGCCAGCCAGGAACAATCGCAAAATATTCAATTCTGACGCCTGAATTTTAAGATTTTCTAGACATTTTTGTGTTGCCTTGACAATATTTCTCTATTTTTAGCTCTGACGTCTATTTTATGCAGCGAAGCGAAACGTGCCGGCGATATGTACAACTAGGTATGGCACTGATCACTCCTGAAAACCCAACAGTAGTTTGACCTGTGACGGCCGGAAAAGTTTAATGCGGACGGACAGACGGACGGACAGACAGACGGCGAAGGCAAAAATAATATGCCTAAAAAAAAAAATGGGGAGACATAATAATAAACATGGTGTGAATCATAATGTCCTTATAATACGCTCAGATCATTTCATAAAATCCCAGAAAGATAAACCTCACCCTTACTAGAGGTCATGACCTAAAATTATTTCATAAGATTCTCTGAAATTAGACATCTCTCTTCCTAGTGGTCATGACCTTTAGACAAACTCGAAGCTATAATTGGCGTCCTCGCCGAAGCGCGTCGAGCCGCGCCCTGATGGAATGAAATCAGATTTTGTGAAAGGGCGACAGCAACTTCTCGAGCCTTTAAGACGGTCATAATAAAAGCCGTTCATTCCGATCGGTATGAGGGTGCTTGATTATTAATTAACAATGAAATGTCGCGATATGTTACAATGAATAGCGAACTGGAGAATTTCGCAATGCCAACATTTTCAAATGAAATAACCTTTTCTGTCAATAAATCGCGCTCTTCGGGTTTTTTTTATTTATCATTTTGTAGTACACAGTGGGTTATCATGGTATGTTATTGTTGTACATGTATCCTAGAATAATCAGTTGATGACCTAAATATTCCGAAAATCTATTTATAGATATTTCTATTTATCACTCCTATCGGTAATTCCCGGTCTCTCCCGGTCTATTTTGACCGGGATTTACTAGTGACCGGCGAATATTACCACACGTTTATTGTCCGGTCTCTCCCAGTTTTGGAGTAGATGTGCATTTAAAATTAGTAATTGAAATCGCTATCATTTGACCTAGTTGCGGATCTAGGGACCTACTTTTTATATACAGCTGTGAAATATTGACAATATGCAAAATATAAGATGACGGATTTAACTTTTATATCAGCTGACCTTGATTTATACAAACCCGTGACCTAGTTTTTGATGTAAAACTATGAAATTTAGACCATGTACAAAGTTTCAGTTTGAATTGATTACTTCTGATGTCAGCTGACCTTGATTTTGAACTTATGACCTACGTTTTGTCATATGAGCGAACTATAAATGTTCCATGTCTATCAAGTTAAGAACTAGGTGACCTAGATTTTGACACAGTAACCTCCTTTGTAAACTTTGAGCTACAGCTTTGAAAGTTTGGACATATTCACATGTTAAATTATCTATTCTCTATTATATTTGATATCAATTGTCTAGATTCTAACATGTTGCTTACTTTTTATTATTACTTCAAAATCGTCAACATATTATTCATTATTGTCATTTGTAGACTATTTAGACATATAAACAATCTAGGGCCATTATTAGTTAGATAAGTTGACAATGGAAAGTTTGATTGTTTGTTACATCCATCTAAATTTCAGAACTTAAGGACGATCTAATTTTATGGTACAACACCAATCAGAGTACAGTTTCTCTTTCACCAGTCACAGATGATTTTATTACCCAACTAGCTGGATTTTATGTCATGCCCGAAATAGAGATACAGAAAATTGTAGTAGGCGGAAAGAAAGAAACAACTAGAGTTGAATCGTTACATGATCTGTTCACATCGGAAAGAAAAGTTCCAAAGGAAATATATCTATCAGCGACCGCTGGGTTTGGGAAAACTGCGTTTGCTAAATATCTTACCATAACATGGTGCCAAGCGAATAAAAAAGATGAAAACTACAGTTGTTTTAAAGAAGAAGAGTTAAAGGCTTTATCTGGCTTTGATTTTTTATTCCTGGTGCTTTTAAGAGATTCAGTTAAAGTATGTCATGTTGACGACATGATCGAACAGCAAATAATAAAAAATCTTCCGTGTTCATCATCATTACCGAAGGATTTTCTAAAAGATCTTTTTCGCAATGAAAAATGTCTAGTTATATTAGATGGACTGGATGAATGGACTCATCCAGTAAATGATTGTAGTAGACATCCAAAAGCTATTCCTCATCGATTTGCACGAGACAAGTGTATAATCTTAACAACAACCAGGCCTTGGAAGCTTGCAGATTCAAATATAAAGACAAGTCAAATAGATAGAATAGTAGAGCTAGTTCAACTCAACATAGAGAGTGCATTACAGTTTAAACTTAACGCAATGCATATATTGAAAGGCAGCCTTGAAGAGGATGAACTGAAAAACCAAGTCTGCAGTTTTGAAGAAGAAATTAGTGAACATGACCTTGAAGATGTGGAATCCACCCCCCTTCTTTTACTCTATCTGATATGTTTATGGGTTGAGGATATTCCAATAGGAAATTCTGTGGTTGATCTATATGCAAGCATTATTCAGCTCCTTCTTTATAGAACAGAAAAGATACATGGGGAGCTGCATCTATCTTCTAAAACGTATCAAAGCTACATTCCCAAATGTTTTAGAAAACATAATCATTGCTGTAAATATTACACGCTTTTAATGATACTGGGAAAACTAGCTTTCCATACTTTGATCAGTGATAATAGAGAAAGCAAACTGGTATTTGATAAACATGTTGCGAAAAACTACCTTAAACAAGAAGATCTTAACTTTTGCCTTCGTTCGGGAATTATTACAGAAAGTAAAGTAAAAACGCTAGTGAGGGAAAGTTCTAAAATCTCATTTTCACATAAAACAGTACAAGAATTCTTTTTAGCAATGTACGTTAGTTTTCAAAATACAAGTGATGTTCAAAAAATCTTGAAAGAGTGCACCTGCATACAAAACATTCTAGACATGTCAAAGGTGTTTATCTTTATTAGTAAGATGAACCCTAAATTAATGTCTAAAATTTCAAGCGTTTTGATGCATGTGGTCGACTACGATGAGAAAACAGGCAAATACAGAACAATGACAGATTATGATTACAGATATGCTGACGAATTAAAAGACATACAAGATATGTTTATGGCAGCTGCCAAAGAATGTCAGAAAAACAAGGATCTCAAAATATGTTTACAAGATGTCTTTATAAATGAAAAATGTCATGACGAAAACTACTTCTGTCATTTACAACATTTGATTCTTCAAAATAAAGAAAACATAAAATCTATTAATATTGAAAACGAAGGTATATGTAGTACACGGAAACTTATCAAATTGTTTGCACTCTCTGACCTTCCAAAAATAGAAAAAATATACTATAACGGAGAAATTAAAGAACGGGAAATGATCAGGTTATTATTGAAGCCATTGAAATGTTTAACTGTGATGTCATGTAAATGGGAAAATAATGACTTTGTTGAAAAACGTTGTCCGCTGTCTTCTGATCTGAATGGACATCTGATAGAATTGCAACACCTGCAGTGTTTACATTTAAGCTGTTTCATAATGTGCCACTCGGAAATGGCGGCCATGTTTGATTTCCTAACCGATAAAATATCTATGATGGATATAAAACTGCTCAGTTTATACTGCAGTGATCATGATACTTCATGTATGGGGTTCAACTTTGACATTTCTGGACATTCACACCTAAGATGTTTAGGATTGCACGACATACCTGTGTCACAATTAAACATTAATGTATCTTTATTAGAAGAATGTACTGTAGGTGAATTATTCAAGCCTGATGTTCTTAAATCGTATCTCAGGCGCCTCCCAGCAGCCTGTAAACTGCAAACACTTGAGTGTGGCGATTTAGAATCTTCCGATGACATAGAAACAATGCTTCAAACATTACCACTGTTACATCATGTGAAAGATCTGAGATTACATGGAATCAATCTAGGTGAAAGATCAATTGAACTGTCATGTCAAATGAGTAATATTGAAAATGTTATTTTATGGTATATGACAATGTCTTGTACAGCGTTGCATGATCTCATTACTGTTGTAAGCGATCTTCCACATTCAGTTACAGTAGAGATGAGAGGTTGTGATATCACACCAGAAACAGAATTTGAAAAGTTAAAAGCGTCTGCAAAAGACTCGGACAAAATTATGGTGACCATTGATGACACCATTCAGTCTGGAGAGTACGTGTTTGAGTTTAAAACAAATACCAACTTGAAATAAGAAATAAGTACAGAGTAACGTTACTAAGGTTCTGGCTTGGGCGAATTTTAGAAACCGTTTATTTAGTTTATCATGAGCAAAGTAACATATAAAATAGGCATCTTTTTTATATTGAAATACTAGTAGACATTAGACAATACTATGAAACGTCAAAATAAATGGAACTACGTATTGAATCAATAATTCAACGATTTTGTTGTTCAATTTAACAAATAATTATTATTCTATGGAACAGTGCATGTAATCCAAAATTTATTATGTAATACGACTACACCTTTATATTATAACAACAATCACTCATTGAGAAATATTCCTGCGGTTGATGTAGGCCATTGGGTTCACAGTTTGGCACAACTCGTAAAATATATTATGAACAATGAAAAGAAACAGATTGTGTTGAAACATTTGGAATAATGCTTTATTTATTTGGTGGTAATATTAGTAGTCGTTAACATTTCTCTTATTTTTAAAGAATCGATTACAGCACAGGAATTTGAAATATTATCATAGATTATCAAAAACTCCACTTTGTTTTTATCAAAAACCCCATCCCTATATAATATAAATAGATGTATAGACAAATGGTAGTTTATATAATTATGTAATGTATATATTAGAAAGTTGATATTTCGGAATGCATTGGAATGAGTTTTATTAAATAATTTTAGTGGCGTATTGTGAATTACACACTGCTACACATAACACTGAATTTTATGAGTGTTAAATGGTGTATTTACACGCTAAACAAGCATTAATATAAAGCATATCTTTAGCTATCTTTCTTTACAAGGTAAAATCTAATACCTTGGGGAAAGTATTTCTTGTAAAAATAGTATTTCACATTTTTCTAGAAAAGATTTGTTCTTTCTGTGTGTAATTGTTAGTTCATATATTTGTATTTGTGAATTAGAATTTCATTCATATGAATTTATGAACTCAGCTGAATACTTTGTACAAGGTAATATTTCAATGCTATGGAGTATTTCATTCTAGAGAAAATGGTATCTGATGTTTTCCAAGAGACAGACACCAGTTTTCAGTGATTGTGTCTAAACTCGAATGGATACTGTTTTTTTTTTAAATTGTATGTGTATTGAGATTAAATGTATTGATTACTGTAAGACTGTTTTCAGTAGTTTATTTAGATCATTTAATGTTTTGTATGCTTATATATATATTTAACTTACGTGTCAAACTGGATTGTATTGTGTTTACAGTGATGCTCGATTAATCATTCTCCAAACGCCAACCATGTCAGTTTAAATGACGTCATCGTGCTACTTCCGAACTTGCGCAATTGCTTTTATATATAATTTATCAACTGAAATGGATAAATGTTTGATCGTGTGTGTTAGTGTATGTGAGATGTTATTTTAGCATCAAATGAAAAGAAAACATAATACGAACGGAAAACATCAATAAAACTGCTTTACTATTGTTGCCTTAAAGAATTGAAAACTATCTTATGGGAGGGAGGAAAAAACAGCCGCATGTACATGTAGTCCCAAACCAGTACTTATTGGTCTTGTGTTCTTTGTTTCTAGTGACACAATCACTAGTCCTGTTACAATAGTCTATTTACGCATGTGGCAAAATTAGGAATCAGTTCATATGACTATGCTGCATTATATATCGTATGTCATTTTTTTGCAATTTAAGGTTGTGTCATTGTTCATTTATCTTAATTAATAACTAATAAATATCTTATTTTGATCTTTGTGTCTTTATTATTCAAAGTATAAATGTTATGTATCTTTACAATACTGCATTCTATGTTACCAGTATTGAGTTTTGAACACATTTTAGGGACCTATTTTGTTAGGACTATACTTTCAGGGATATTCTATTTATAGATTTAGAGATAAATCATGTATCACCTTTTTCAGACAATTTACTTACTTAAATAATTAACTTTTTGAAATTTAATATTAAAATTAAGATAAGTTTACTTAAGAAATAATTTGAATTATCAAAAACAGTGATTTTATCGCTCAATAAAATCACTGTTTGGAGTTCGGAATAATATCACAAGGGCGTAGCCCGAGTGATATAATGATGCGCATCCGAACGACAAACAGTGATTTTATCAAGCGAAAAAATCATTGATTTGAATATATTATTTCGATTCTAACACATTAACAAATAAATGCTGCCATACCTGATATATTAAGTTCTAAAAAGAAAAAAGTCTTGTTAAATTTTGGAAATTTTATAGCACAAACATTTAAACGCAGGGAATTAAACCAACAAAATCTTCAGACATAATTATAAAAATGTTATCTTGTTAGTAGTATTACTTTATTTCTTTTTATTCTCCTTGTTTTGTTAATACAGTCTAAAGATGTAGTTGTATCATTGTATGACACTTTGCAACTAAATAATGTTAACTTTGATGATAACGTGATGTTTAATTATATTTGAATGTATGTATTTTGTGACCATGTGCATTTTGTACACGTCTTATATGAATAAACTATCTATCTATATATCCTGATATTTACCTAAATTGTGCTTGATTTTTTCGTAGTTATTTTCAGCGCGTCACATTTTTATTGGTTATGTCATATATATAATGATTACGTCACCCGTCTAAGTATAGAACGTCAAACAGGGATTTTATTGCATAATAACACACACTTTCGGTTCTTCAATGTTCAATAGGGAAAGTGCCGGTCGTGGTAGAATATTTTAATAGTGAAAGTTACAGTATTATTCTATTTATAGATTGGAGTAATCAAACCTGTATAACTTACTTATGAACGGATCAAACGATTGTTCCATTAATGTTAGGGAATTTATACAAAAAATTAGTCATTGTTTGACTGTTTATGGATTTTATTATGTTCATTTGATAATTTTATTTTGTATTTTTTAGTTGTCAAAGCAGCACGCCTCCTGATTCATGCTAGTTTCATGAAAATTTTGAAAATGCATTTGAATGAAAAATATGGTGAAGTAACCAAAAGGAAGTAATTTACACGTAATAAATGGCACTTAAAATCCACGTAATTTACCAAAACGTGGTTAAAATATGCATATAATTATAGCCTTTACTGCGTTAGTAACGCAGTAGAAATATAGTTGTAAATACTGAAAAATCAGTCATTAATCGCACATAATATGTAAAATATAACTTGATTCTTGTAATTTTTTACTTTTCCGAATATCTTAGTACATTTTTCTCAAGTTTGATTTGATTGAAGTATTTTGACTCATCTGGAGGCTTGTAGCTTTAAGGTAGCATACCCCTGATGGGCACTATAAGGAACTGTAAAATTGACAACATAAGATAGTATTTTGCATAAATGTCACCTATATGCAAAATTTAAACCAAATTTATCGTGTGGTTTATGAGTTATGGACATTTTTCTGAACTAAAACTTTGCCATTAGAAGGGCTTTTTTCAGAAATGAGGAAACTCTAAATAATCGATAACACAGCTTACACTCCATCGTCCACAATGACTTCAGCTTGCAATCAATATGTTTACCGTAAAACGCAGAAAAAGGTAAAACTGGTCAAAATAAATAAATCATTGAGTTGTTTTACTTATATGTATGGTACTGACATAAACTAAATTATTCATAATCAATATTCTAATGTTAAAACATATATTTTCAGACAAAATGCGGTTTCTCACTCAGATTTCCCGAAAAAAAGCAAAATTGTTTGCATCAAACGACGATTTCAAAGCTTTAAACCTAATATTTGAACAAATCTTTTTGATTCTATCGAAAATTATGTTCTACCAGAAAAATAAACAATTTTATTTGTAAACGTCTTGACTACGAATTAGCAACTGTTGATGTTTCCTCACTGTCCGGTTGCTTATGAGGACTTGAAAAAAACTGTACCGTTGCCTGGGAGCAAACTACAAGTTTTGTTTCTATTAAAAACACAATTCCTGAACAGTTGGCCCATTTTAAAGGTTACAATGGCATTGACATTGCATGTAAACCAAACAAAATGATATGTTGGTTTAATAACTAATGTATGTGAACGAAAATCTTAAAAAAGTTTATAATTCCCATGGAGAAAACGAAATCAGTAGAAGTTTCAAGAATTCCTGAATCCTCTCCATTTGGCAAGTGTGCTCGAACTTATACACCAACAAAAAGCATCCATGATTGTCCAAATTTAAACATTGTTGAAACGACTGCTGATGATCTTAGCGCATATTTTGTTGAAATGCAATTAGACGTATTTGAAAAAACATTTTCTGTTCAAACAGATTCAACGATAACATTAGATTTTTCTTAAAAGCCCACCTAGCCTTGAAGAGAGAGAAGAAAAGTTAGACAGCGATGTTAAAAAGGTTGGTGATTTTACAACAATCATTGAAAAACTCGATCAGAAAGGTATTGACAGTATTGCCGAAGCACCTGAATTCAACAGAAACGAAGTGGCTGAAAAGAGAAATAATATATTGATAATTATGAATGAAACAGTTAAAGAGCTGAGAAGTGAAAAACAAAACGAAGTTGTAACTTTAGAAAAATTAAATGAAGCATGCATCAACGAAAGACTCAAAACAAAGTACTCTTATGCAGTAAGTGCTATCAAAACCTACATATATCACGTAAACATATCAATTAATAAAGTTATGCAGTTGATAAACTATTTTGGAGAAACAATAGGAGTAGGCCAGGAAGTCAGAACTGTATACATATACATGCAGGATTCTTATTGTGACCTTTCTACACAGGGAAACTATATTTGTCTAACAGGTCCTGAAACTGGTGATATGTCCTCACATAACATTGAAACGTCAACAGTTAAACAACGTTCTGAACCTTGGCATATGATAAGAAAAGCAGCTCGTGTTACTGACAGCACTTGTCATTGTGCTATTGGACTCAGTGGTTTAATTAAAGGGTCAAATGCAACATTTTGAACAAGTTATCAACGGAACTGAAAAACCACAGCCTACAAAAGAAGCCATTGAAAGGATGCAATACGGAACAGATAATGAAATCAATGCTGTTGCGGCTTTGACATTTAAATTCTTGCCCGTTTATCTACCTGGCACTAATTTCGTTGTTGACGAAGGATGTGAAATCGTCTGACACAATATAATAAATATATATAAATAATATTATAGTAAAATAATCATTGTGGTCAGCCCAGATGGCAGTATTCGTGGAAAGGATGACGTAGATATATAATATGCAGTTGAAATCAAATGTCCATATCCAGGAAAAGTGTATACGTTGCCTTTGTACTATAAAATGCCCTGGTATTATGTATCACAAGTCCTAATAGAAATGTAGGTCTTAAAGGTAAATCTGCTTTTGTTTGTTTGCTACAGTTCTGAGAGTTCTACAATTTTCGAAGCGCCTTTTGACGAAATATTGTGGACAAAAATTAACGACCGAATCAATCAAGACATTATATGGGGATGATTAAATAACAAGAATAAAGATCAACAAGTCAAAGGCAACGTTCACAGGACGCCATCCCCGGACACACCCAAGCCGGACACCCAGAAGGCACCAAACAAGTACCTAACCCTTCCATTATGACAAGACGGCCTCCGGGAAATAAAACTTTGAATGAAAAGATGAAAACCTTTCGCAATGAAAATTAAAGTTTATTGCCGAAATTCCATCAGTGGAAGTGACCAAATGTTGTCAACATGCTGAACAAAGTAACAATGAATTTGATATTTGGAAGAAATAAACATAATCCAGCTGACAATCAGAATAAAAAGAACCCGTCACCATCGGGGATTATGACTTATTTACATGAGGCAAAAGAAATGCTTAAAGAAGCTAATGACATACAGAGACATTTAGCGAGTGAAATTCTAGTGTTTTTGATTTCAGACTTCTGACCGTTCCAAGGCGGCGCCCCTCTGTGTTCCTCAGATTTATGTCTATGTTGTTTCATACTGTTTAGGTGACACTTTTGCTTTTGTCCCTTGTTGTTTTCTCGTCGACGGTTAGTATCTTCCCCCCTATACCCCTAGTTTTATACTATTTTGATTAACCACCCCTTTCCTCCGGTCTCCTGTCCCCTTCCCCTGTGCCCTTTGACTTTGTGTGCCTATTATTCAATCATTTCAATCATTTATTTGGTTTCTTTGAATTCCTGATCAGTTACAATTTATTTATCATTTAGTGATTAACCTGTCCGAGCTCTGTCTTGTGCCCTGTCCTTTTTTTTTGTTTGGGGTCCGCCTGGGCTCCTTGACGCGGATTCTTGTTGCTGGGTCGTATGGAGGTTGCGTTCTTTGAACGCCGCCTTTCCTGATTGATCTTGTTTATCATATTTTAGACGGACAGAATACACGAAAGGGAAAGGCAGTATGAAATTCCTTTGGCGTATGCATTAAAAGGCTACAGTTTGACTTCATTCACATTGAGGGAAATTATTGACAAGGTCCTTTACGATTGTTAGAATCGGAGTATACATTCCTGCTTTATCTTATGATGGACAGTGATCAAAGATAGCTGTTCGGTCGTAAACAGATATACCATTAACATTACTTTAATTGCAGGAAGACATAATGAAAGAGGAATGATCAACTGATTAAAAAGAAATTTTAAATATAATTCTGACGTCAAATTGCGTAAAGGCTGAAACGTTTGTAGATGTCGTTGAGAAAAGTGTCTGTGAAATAAAGCTAGATAGAAATGGAAACTTCATCTCAATTGATCTCTTCCGTGCCAGAAATTGCCACACAATTATACACAACGGACAAATATATGAAAAAGGAACAGAAACTGAAAACAAAAGCTAAAATAAACCAAAATGAGAAAATTCGGAAGACATTTCATTAACTGTTTCTCCTGTACTAGACGCATTTGCCCCAGATGTTGCAGAAAATATTCAAGACGATCTGTTGCAGATCATAGAAGCCACAGTAATCGATAGTTCGAGAACTGAAACATCAACACAAGAATTGGATCTGTCTACTTTTTTCGATAATTTACAGTCTCCACAAGATAATGATCAGAATGTAAAAGCAAATTTACGGGACATAAATACCCACCAAGAGCTTAAGAACAATCAAGAAGTAGATGAAATGCATGAATATTTAATGCAAGATGTGCAAGAAGATGCAGCAGAGTTTTTACTTGATTCCGACAGAGAGGAGATCTTAAAAGCTCTTAAACAAGAACAAGAGCAATCAGTGATCACATGTGTCGCCTTATGATGGCCAATTTCATGTTGGGACAAATTTTGTGACAGACGGACAGACAGACGGACAGTGCACAACTAGACTTGGTACTGATCATTCCTGTAAAGTTTTGATAAAATTGCACCAGTAGTTAATGAGGAGTAGTCCGGACAAGCTTTTGCGTATATGGCAACACACAGAAAAATACACCTTTTTATTAAAGAGTCAAAACTCAACCAAAAATCATTCAACCGGAAAACTCGTGCAATATGCGCAAGGACTTGAGCTACAGATCAATCCTGTAAAGTTTCATTGAAATTGCATTAGTGGTATAAGAGAAGTAGTCCGGACAAACTTTAAAAATAAAAAATTATTAAAGGGCCATAACTCTGACAAAAATCATTGAACCGAAAAATGCTGACAATATGCACAACTAGATTTGGTACTGATTATTCCTGTAAAGTTTGGATGAAATTGCACCAGTAGTTTATGAGGAGTAGTCCGGACAAGCTTTTGTGTATCTGGCAACACACAGAAAAAAACACCTTTTTATCAAAGGGCCATAACTCAGCCAAAAATCATTCAACCGGAAAACCCGTGCACTATGCGCAAGGACTTGAGCTACAGATCAATCCTGTAAAGTTTCATTGAAATTGCATTAGTGGTATAAGAGAAGTAGTCCGGACAAACTTTAAAATTAAAAATTATTAAAGGGCCATAACTCTGACAATATGCACAACTAGATTTGGTACTGATCATTCCTGTAAAGTTTGGATGAAATTGCACCAATAGTTTATGAGGAGTAGTCCGGACAAGTTTTGTGACGGACGGACGGACAGACAGACAGACAGACAGACAGAGAGAGAGAGAGAGAGAGAGAGAGAGAGAGAGAGAGAGAGAGAAGAGAGGAGAAGAGAGAGAGAGACAAAAGAAGAGAGAGAGAGAGAGGTAGGTAGGGTAGGGTAGGGTAGGGTAGGGTAGGGGAGAGAGAGAGCGGTAGTAGGTAGGGTAGGGTAGGAGAGAGAGAGAGAGCGGTAGGTAGGGTAGGGTAGGTAGGGGTAGGGTAGGGTAGGGTAGGGGTAGGTAAAGGTACTGTACGTGAAGATGACAATATAAACTTACAACATTTAATACATTCCGAACTCTCGTAGCACTTGCCATCATCACCGCATATTTGAGATGCTGAAATGTGAAATATACATGAAATTGTTTACGATTTTACATTGCAGATTATTTAAAAAAATCACAGATTCATGCACAATCCATAAAATATAGGCAATTACATCTTATATATGATTACCTAGCTGAGCGAATACAAGAAAATATCTACAAGAATTAATCACATTCAATCTTTAATTTGTGTTGACAATTTATAAAGTAAAGATAAAGACCAAAGATAACAGAAATTGATTAAAGAAGACATGCAGCTATAAGATAAAAGTCAAAGTCTCTTAAAATAGCAGCTAAGGTAAAACATCAAAGTAACTCACAAGTACATCTATTTCCGCACACGTCTGCTCCAACTTGGGTCAATAATGCTAGAATAAAACATACACGGCATAACTTTTATAAAAAAAAACATTTCTTTGTGTATAACGTATATATTTTAAGTTACCAAATTTTCAAACCATTCCCTAATTTTGTTTTCTCAAAATAATTATCTTCAATGTGCAAAATGTCCAGAAAATAAAAAAAATGTTTCAACGCTTTTAATTTTAATTCAAAGAGGGCTAGAATCGTGCAAAAATCGATTGTCTGGTCAACTTTTGTGTAATTTCTTTATTATTTTTACACAGATATTTACATTTTAAAATTTGAAATCTATAGGATTTGTGACCTCAGTGGAGCTCCTTTAAGAGTTTTAAATGCCCATAAGACTGTAAGTAAAAAAATAACAATAAAAATTTATTTGAAAATAATAGTTTCAGATCAGGCTCCCATTAATTTTTTAAACATTAGTTTTAATTGTTATTCTATTATAAAAGAAAATCTTACTTATTAGAAGAAATAAAGTAACCATTATGTTTAATCCCACTCTTATTTTATCGTCACATAACTTATCTTCACTTTAATGCCTACAACATTTATATTTAAATATGACTGGCTGAAAACCTTCCTGCTATTCAGAGCGTGCGCATTAAGCATGAAGTTCGGCTACCCTGTTTAACGATTGTTCATGTTGAAGGTTATATTGATTTCGTGGTATGGTTTGAGGACATAAATTATTTGAGTAACCCAAATAGCAGACAAAAACATGTTTACAATGTCTAGTAAATAGCAGAAAAAGAGCTATTATGGTTTTGTACTGAAAATAATGTTGTAACTATGAAATGTTGTCGTGCTGAAAGAGACAAATATGTTAAAGTTTCAGATAAAATTGAATTATAGCGAGAACAGTGAAATAGTAAAACACAAGTGTTAATGACAAAATCACAATAATTTTGGATAATCGCATAATTTTATACCGGACTGGTTAAAAAGTCACGAAATCATTGTTGATATTAAGCGCCCAACTGATGACATAATGCTCGATTGGAGTTACAAGCGTTTAGATGAAAACGATATCTCTAAAAGCATGTTTTCTGCTTGCTCATTCACATTGATAAAATCCTATTCAAATTGGCAATATAAGTTATTTACATCACAGTATATTATAATTAGATTAATTATTAAACTGAAATGATTCCCTCGACCTCATTTACACCAAATGTGACGTTGTTCATCCAAGGTTACAGCATGGTAGTATCACATACGTCAGTCATTCATCTAAAACATTATAATTCTTCCAAGCAAGTTATTATTGAAGTCAATGTTGAAAGAAAATTCAAAAGAAAATTTACGAAGCTTTATTTGTTCGATTTTTTATGAGAGAAATTAAGGTATGGTTCAATGTTTTTACAACTGAAAAAAGTCAATTGGATCTCCGTTTTAGAGTGGTTATGGATGCACCCCACTGTTGTATGTACGATTTTTATCCACATAATCCAGGCACCCAAACCAAAGTAAAAGTTCCTGTGGGTCGTCCAACAAAAATAAAAACTGGGGAAGGGCGAAGGAGGCGATGATTAATAATTACAAATAAGAAATCATTATTCAAATATGAACCTAAACAGGTGCCTTTTAAAGGGACGTAAATCAAAAATATTGGGTCGGAAATGAAGAAATGCATTTAAACATTACAGTAAGTGAATATTTGCTAACGCTGAACACCGATATATACATGTTATGCAGTTATTTTACTTAACTTGCAAGTGTTTTACTATTATTGACGTGACATACACGTAAAGTCTATTGATTTCAGTTCCATACATTTTCATTTTAATTTCAGTACATCGTGTCACATCTGTATCATTTATGGCTTTATTTATTTAACTTGCATTTATGATGTTTGACTTTTTCTTCAAATTATTACGGATATTTAAGATAGCATAAATTGTGGTTGTGAAGGATTCACAATAAAATATTGTGTTAGTTGAATAGTAGCAAACACCAAAGGTTAAACTAGAAAAAAAAACAGAATCCCTTAAGAACGCACAAAATGGCAAAATTGGAAATATTGCAGACTCGGCTTCCTACACGATAGTGGTAACTTGATGTAACAACAAAACAGAGTAAAACAGTTCAATCACACCAAGCATGCAACATTTCAATTTTGCCATTCTATGCGTTCTTTATCTAGAGATACCTATTGTAATGGTGAACTAAGCAAAGACATTATGTCTAACCTTAGTTCTAATCCTAGGGGCGTCCGTGACGGAGTAGTTAAGGTCATTGACTATCAAACAATTGCCCCTCCCCGCAATGTTAGGACCAGAAAGGGATTTTAAAGTCTTTCATGTAAGGAAGCTATCCAGCTAGGTTGAGGAACGTCGGCTGTTCTACTTATGAACCCGTTCATACTTGTTATCATGTACGAAGGAGCACCTGAGGTATTCCTTCACCAGTAAAGTTAGTACCTATACTGTGTTGGTATAAAAATGACTTTTTTTTATCTGATACTAACACAGTCTCTCAACTGCACTCTTCTCTAGTTTGTCGTAAACGGGCTGTGTGGTCAAATAACACATTTATATTGTAAAATATGGTTTTATTTATAAAAAATAACTATTCATAATAAACAACATGGAATAACATATAAATGAACATTGTAAAATATTAACATATTTAATATGTTGAATATCATATAACAAAATGACATCTGTATAACAGGTCAACAAAAATAAATATAAAAGGTTCAGTTACACTTGTCAGAACTTATTAAAACTAATGTAAATACAATTACAGCATTAATATATTGACCATAAAAATATAATTTCAAAATCTGGATAAAATGTGATCCGTCGGAAGCATTAATCACAAGAAAAATACATGATAATTGCAGACTTGGTTTGATTCTGTCCATGAGTGACATGAATGAAAAAGTGCAGCACACTGTCTTAAAATTGAAAATATTATTTGACATTTTGTGTAACATAAACTAACATCACATTGAATGTGCTAAATCACGGATAGTTAATAGTTACCATGGGTATAAATAGAAGAATAATGGTACAAATTTATTGAAAGTGGGTCTTTCCATACAGAAAAATCAAAATTTTATAACGAAATGTTTAAAGAATTTTTTGGTGGCACTTTGACAATGAAACTTATTCTTAGAAAATGTTTTATTTAAAATATGAATGTGAGTAGTAGTAAATGTATTAAAACGATTATTCCAAATAAAGAAAATTCGAGAATAAACGCATTTCTTCATTGATATGTTTAAAAGGATTATGAAAATATAATTTTGGCAATATAAAGAAGCCGAAACATTTTTCTTTTTTGAAAGGTATGATATGTTATATCGACTGTTTCGTATCAAAGACACTGAACAACACGCACGCACACACGCGCACACACACACACACACACACACACCACTTAAAACAGAAGTCTTGTTTAAATTGAGTCTGTTTAAGATAGATTTTAGAAAGTACAACATCTCATGCTCATACGCATATTTTTATCTGTAGCACGGAAATCCAGATGCTCTGTCATGTATTATTTTATACACCAATGTGTATCTGAGTGAGTTGGTTGTTGGCCGGATAGGTATGCCATATATATACCAATCGGTATGAAAGGACTCTTACCACTTAATATACTTATATATGTGTGTTTATTTTCATCCTATATTTTTGACACAAGGATTATAATCGTTTTCACTCTGATCAGCTAATTTATCACGATTGCACATGTGACATGTCTCTGCAACAATTTCTTTGAAGCTCCTAATTACGCATTATTACTTGGTTCTTCGTAATCATGAATAACCGGAGTGCATGTCTGGTTACAATGAAAATACTTGTTTTGTTTTGGTGTTGACTTGTGTCGATGGTGTTGCAACCGGTTTAGTTTCAACTGGCTTTGTTGCGATGTTAGGGGTATTAAGCTGTTGTGGAGGTGTATTTGTAAATGCTTGTGGAGCACCATGGCTTGTTCCATTGAGAGGTGTATTTGTATATGCTGCCGGAGCACCATGGCTTGTCCCAATGGGAGGACTATTTGTATATGCTGGTGGAACACCATGGCTTGTCCCATTGGGAGATGTATTTGTATATGCTGGTGGAACACCATAGCTTGTCCAATTGGGAGGACTATTTGTATATGCTGATGGAACACCATAGCTTGTCCCATTGTTTATTGCAGCCTGTCCATAAACTGCAGGGGCAGTCAATATCATTCCAGGCTGAGCTTGCACTGTAAATAAAACATACAGTATAAAGTAACAAAAAAACTCTTTTAGAAATAATAAAGTCAACAATTTAAATTCGAAATATTGAATCGATTTGATAAATATTAAAATATTTAAGTTACCGTTTGATCTGTTACGGTGACTTCTCCGTATGAGGCATACAACAGTAATCGTCACAACTATCGCAACAAGCACACTTGATACAATCGATGCATATTGCCAGGGTTTTAACGCACTGAAAAACACATAGTTTTGATATCACACACTTTAGTAAAAATGAAAGCACTTGATGTCAAAAAGTTGTTATCACTTCATATGTATATATCTTTAAAGGCACTACACTGGGTATTTTAATTGACATGGCAGACCTGGGAATACGTTTTCGAGATCAATATATCTATTTCGATGTATGTCTAGTCAAATAACATGTGTGCAGAATTTCAGATCATTTGCTTATTTCCAAAATAATCATTATAATTGTGAAAAATGATCCAAAATCTGGCTAAGAATAGCAAGTCCCTTGAAGAGAATCAACGTCTTTCTGATCGACCAATATAAGCTTAGAAATGATGATGGTTAGGTAACAAAAACACGGCTTTTTATTGTGTAATCTGTCTAATAGGAAAACATGGAAGTCACCACGTGTCATCTTTAGTGTCGTTGTTACTTAAAACCAACCAATTAATCAAATGACCAATATAGCAATATCATGTGGCTTATGCAAACAATCAAATCGGTTTTTAAATTGTTTTACTTAGGTTTGTACCAAATTATTCTGATCTGAAATGTTTCTCTCAATGCAGGAATAAATGCTTAGTTGAAGAGTAAATCATTTAAACCGTATCTTACTTTATACAATATAATGTATAATAACATACATTTTTAAAAGGATGTTTTACTCACATTGCCGATGGTTTTATTGTGTTAATATAGGATCGTCTTGTAGGGTAGAATGTTACTGGCTTATAAGTCGTTGGGTAGTCTGGTTTTGAAGTAGTCCATGGGTTAAAAGTAGTCCACGGTTTTAAAGTAGTCCTAAATGAAGTTGTTCGAAGTGAAGCCGTTGAAGGTTTCTGCGTTGAACTGCAAATGAAAATTAAATAAAGGCATTAATTGTGTTTTAATTTAAAATGTATGATTTTTGTTTTCGCTTTCAAATTGAATTCAATATAGTTTAGCAATCGAAGTGGTTAAGGGAAATAGCCTCCTATCATATTTTTATAACTATTGGCCCTACCCGTTTGTATGTCAAGTTTCTCAAATGAAATAATGATGTGAATGCGTGATGTTATTTTATGTTCAAACATTGAAGAATAGTTAAATTTGACTAAGATGATATCCATATTTTAGTTAGATACCATTTAAAGCATAATTTTAACATTACCTTTAACTTAAGAGACAAATTAAAAAAGCACACTAACAACAAATCATATAAACTTTACAAGCCCATGACATTGTTATAAAGTTAGCGTGTTGCCATCTTAATATATCTTGTTAAAATATTTGTAAGTGTATAATAATTGGCTGTTTTTATAAAAAGCAGAGAACGTCAAAAACCTGCAAAACCATCGTTTAAATGGCCATTCTTATATTACACATAAATAAAGAAAGAAATATAACGGGATTTATTTCATTGAAAATTATGATATAATACATGTAATTATAGACATTTATGATCATTGTAAAGTTATTGAACAATCAAACTAAGGAATTTCGAGTTAAAAAGAAAGCCACTTACAAGATGTCGGAAATACATTTAAAGCCACTACAGAATGTTCCAGAAGGACAGCAGCCGACAAATGAACAACATGTATGATTACTTGCACAATAACTGTTATAACAACAAACGCTTCCGGCGGGCATACAGCCATCACTGCAACATGCTTGGTCCTTCTTGCAGTAGTAAGAGGTAAATATTGATGTAAACAAAGCTGTGAAAAAATGAAATTGTTAAGTTACTTATTACTTTAAAGACTTACTCAAATGGCATTTCAAATCGTACAACTGAGTAATTTTTACATTTAAAATGATTAGTGTTTGGCAATTTTTATTATTAATAATTTATAAATTGTACTCACTGCATGTTATAAGCTCTGATTTATCGTAACATATTCCATCATCTTCACCACAAACTTGCGATGCTGAAATAAATCAATTATGGTTATATAAATATCTTATAACAACTCTGCTATGTGAATTAATACATATTAGTTGTAGACAAATATTGTAAGAACATTGGTAAAAAATCCAAATTTTCATGATTTTGTTTCAGAATAAGCGCAAATATAGGTGCCCATGAGTATCTCCGTGGCAATTTAATCTCGGACATTCATTCTACTGGTCATTAATCTCTCTTCGCTGATTAATAAATCAAAGAATAAATAAAATAAACGGAATTTAGTAGTCGGTCACTTGCCGAGAAATTGGCAGTTTTTGGGGTGGTTATCCATAGAAGCCGGAAAGATATTTGAGCCGTGTCACGACAAAACCAACATATTACGTTTGCGACCAGCATGGATCCAGACCAGCCTGCGCTGGATCCATGCTGGTCGCAAACCCATTATGTTGGTTTTGTCGTGACACGGCTCATATGTTTAACAAAATATTTATAAAAATCAGGTTTAAAAAAAGAGAAATAAAAACAAAGACTTCAGAAAACATTAGAATATACGACAAAATGTAATAATTGTTACTGTTTTCTGTAATATTTTATTCATGTGTACCTGTTTTTAAAACAATGAAGTAAAACAGTAGATGAATAATGTCTAAAACAATATGACATGAAAGACTAAATGACTGATTTATTGATGCTGTTTCCAACTTTAAAGTATAGAAAACATTAAGGTTAATGCATCAGACAATTTGTTGAGTCAAGTTTCAAAAGCAATGATTTAGTGCGGGCACGAAGTTCGATTCCAATATACATTGAACAATATACAACTGGAATATGATATTTAGCATCAAATAGAGAATTTTGCAAAATAACTTACATGTACATCTATCTCCACACTCATCAGCCCCAACTGTCGTCAGAAATACTACAATAAATACATAAAATTAAAATGAAATATGTGATTTTAGATATACAATGTACCATATCTTTGCATACATCTTTGGAATAATATCTCAAATGTTAATTAGTTTATTCCAGTGAAAAGCTACTATAAAAAGAAAGTAGGATAAAAATATTTATTATATAATCTATAAATAGCTTTGAAATGCCTTTACCTGATTGGCTAACAAGCAACTTTATGTAAAAAATAACAGGTCAATATCAGAGTATATTCACTGTTTTTTTCCTAAAAAAAGATTTTCTGGAAATTCCCTGAAAGACACGAGACTATGACGTGATGTCACGCCAAGTTTGTTGTTATATATTATTCTGATAAAAAAATGGATGACTCTTAAATAAGAGTCAAATTAATGTATTTTAGTAACCGTCTTTACATTTTAAAGAACACTATAAGAATAAGCTTGCTAATGCGCTCATTAAAAAGATATTTTATGGAAAAATAAGACAAGCTTCCGACTTAGGCAATGTCAGATTTAATAAGCCATATAAAAGATATTTATAAATTATATAATAAAATAGATATGAGCCGCGCCGTGACAAAACCAACATAATGGGTTTGCGACCAGCATGGACCCAGACCAGCCTGCGCATCCGCGCAGTCGGATCAGGATCCATGTTGTTCGCTATCAGTTTCACTACTTGTAATGGGGTTTGTAAGCGAACAGCATGGCTCCTAATTAGACTGCGCGGATGCGCAGGCTGGTCTGGATCCATGCTGGTCGCAAACGCACTATGTTGGTTTTGTCATGGCGCGGCTCATATGTACTTTTTAGCTGGTGAATATGATGTGATATGTACTGAAAAATTAATATTGACCTCGGCTATCGCCTCGGTCAATATTAATTTTTTCAGTACATATCACATCATATTCACCAGCTAAAAAGTCCATATTTGTATAATATGTACAAAACTAAAAAATATGGGTACAACAACCCTTCCCGATCTTTATGTTTTTATATGACTGTATTTTGTATTTACTTGTAGATAAATATACTTATGGGTAATTCTAGTTTAATGACTCGTTTAAAGATTAAATTATTCTATATAATATTTCGGGTTTAGTGCTAAATTACTACATTTAAACTTATGTTGTTTCTTAAACAATACTATAAATTCGGTTTTAAATAAAAACGTTAAAGATTTATTTTAGTCTACGGATATGTACACTTTTAAACCAAACAAAATTGAAATTCAAATATAGATAAATTAATCTACGCATCACTGTAAAACGTAAACAGGTTGCCATTACACGCATAAAGTCAGGTTTATGTATAACCCTGATAACATTGTCCTTGAAATTGTTCATTGAATCTTTCGCAATATTGACCTGAGACATTTGAATATTCAATGACCTTTTATCGGTACTTACCGGATTGCGAAATGAACCACACGGATTTTTAATATTACCAGCAAAACAATTTATATACTAGCCTTAGTAAAAAGTTGAAAGACTTTAAGTTTGAAATTAAAGGTTGTAGGTTTGAATCATTATAATGATTTTATATTCTATAATAATTCTTTATAATATTTTGCTGAACTTGACTATTATGTTTTTATGCGAATCACCCATTGTACGATTTTACATATTGGAATAAGCTGAGAAAGTATAATGATATTTATCAAAATTATCAAATTAAAAAATAAAATCCGGTATAAATTAAATGCATAATTTATCAACTCGTGGTATATTATTTTGATAAAGAAACAAATATGGTTATGAAATATACAAAGAAAATCATAATAATGAAAAAAAATTCGAACTTAAAACTACGTGGTTACAATTTACTATGCCACCGGGTTGTTTTTGTTAACTGAATAAAGAATTAAAGTATCATTAAACCTTATGCGTGAATTATAAATGGAAACTAACGAAAAATCTTCCCAAGAGTAATGTGTCTCAGGTCAATATTGCCAAACAATTCTATACTTATACTGATACTAAATAAACAACTTTTTTTTTTCAAAATTCCTATCAAAGAATATTTCTATAGATTGAAGTTTGTGTTGTAAACAAGTAATTGCAACTTTTATTATCAACGTGCCGTGCGTACGTGGGTAAACTTTAATTTCTACTACATTACGACACTCTTTTTTTTAAATCATCGAGTAAAGAGTCGTCAAATTAATGAATTATAAACAAGAACGTATAGATCATTCAAAATTTATACTATAATAATAATAATAATAATAATAATGATAATAATAATAATAATAATAATAATAATAATAATAATAATAATAATAATAATAATAATAATAATAATAATAATAATAATAATAATAGTAATAATAATAATAATAAATTCAATGTCATAATAAAAATAATAATATGATCAGAAAATAGAATTACAACATTACGTGAATGAGTATGTTTATGGTAAATTCATTAGAGTTTAAAGTACAAAATTTGAAAATAATGAACATAAAAATTGAATACGTGAGTTACGACTGAACTCGATGTTTTGGTATTAAAGACTTGTTTACAATATAATCGACAAGTATGCATTCAATGCGTCATGCACTCAAACACAGGTAAACATCTTGAAAAATTACAATGTGCAATTATACATGAAGTAGGGAAAATATTTCATAAACAAGTTGAATTTATCGACGTGTGAAGGACCTCACGCTGTATAGTAAATAATACGATATAGTTTACAGTTTTTAAGTATCTCTGCACTACGAATTTCTTATGTTTTAAACGAACAAAAACGTTTGAATTTTAGCAATTTCAAGAATTTTAATAAATAGAGGATATTGAATGAGTGTAGTTTAATACTAAATTTATTGAACGAGTTGAATAAAATCATATTATGCGAGCCTCTGACGAGCATAATATTGTTTTATTCGACGAGTTCAATACATTTAGTATTAAATCTACACGAATATAATATTCTATTTATCACATATATAAAATAAGAACAGTTAAGTACTAAAATGAGTAACTTTTCAATGACGCGCCGATAGTGTAACGCTAACATTAGCGCGCTTTAACGTTATGTTTCTATATAGCGCAAATGTCGTCACGTCAAAGTGTTATTACACTACTGTAGTGTAATATCGTTTTTATTAAATAGAGGATATAGAGGATATTTGTACAGTTCAGTGTAAGATCGGAATATATTTCACCGAGTGGGCACCAAAAGGTATATTTCACGAGTGGCGCAGCCACGAGTGAAATATGAACTTTTGGTGTTCACAAGGTGAAATATATTTCGATCTTACACTAAACTAAACAAATTTTCTTTTTATTACATGCAAAGAAACGTTTTAAAAAGACATTAAACCTTATACTGAATGAAAAGCGCGCCAAGTAATAATACAACGTGACGTCATTTACGACGTCACATCATTAAGTTGTTACCCAGTACTGTGCACGCTGGTATTTCACTGAAACAACGTAAGGGGCTTAAATTCAAAACGGTGAAATTATCAAAGTGGTAATTTCACTGTTTCAAACAGTGAAATTACCAATTTTATATCACTGATATATTTCTATAAACCACCGAAAAGCATGTAATAAATTTGTTTAGTTCAGTGTAAGATCGGAATATATTTCACCGAGTGAGCACCAAAAGGTATATTTCACGAGTGGCGCAGTCACGAGTGAAATATGAACTTTTGGTGTTCACAAGGTGAAATATATTTCGGTCTTACACTAAACTAAACAAATTTTCTTTTTATTATATGCATTGAAACGTTTTAAAAGACATTAAACCTAATACTGAATGAAAAACGCGCCAAATAATAGTACAACGTGACGTCATTTACGACGTCATGCCATTAAGTTGGTAACCAGTACTGTGCACGCTGGTATTTCACTGAAACAACGTAAGGGGCTTAAATTCAAAACAGTGAAATTATCAAAGTGGTAATTTCACTGTTTCAAACAGTGAAATTACCAGTTTTATATCACTGATATATTTCTATAAACCACCAAAAAGCATGTAATAAATGGCTTTATTACACTCCTGCGCCGCGGTTTATGTGATAATATATAATTTTGAGCCATTTATTCATGCGAGCGCACACAAAGACACATATTTTCTTGTGTAACTTAAGTACGAACGTTTTTATTATGTAAAAGTATTGGAAAAAATGTTTACAAGATTTGTTATAAAAATTGATAATAACTCATATTTTTTTTCAAAAATGAAAAAAGCAACATCCACCCCGCTCATCCCCCTCCAAACAACAACAACAACAGCAACAACATACTGCCGACAACTCCATCACACCCCCACCCTACCCCCAAAATAAAAAAAAAATTAAAGTGACATTATGCTCATTTTTTCATTGTCAAATTGACTTTAATTGACTATATATTTCTATAAACTGGTCGTTATAATGGTGATTGACCAACACATGATATTTGGGTAAAAAATAAATCTACCTAAATATATAAAAAAAGACTGCCCCACCTTTTCTATAAATGGAAAGTTACAGATACATTGCGACGGATAATTATACACATTTCACAGGGGCTAGTTAGTTGTTTATCGTTCATGTGAAGTTAATCAATTATGAGAAAATGTCAACTTATTTTGACTTTCACCTGTTCACTCAATATCTACCCATGGATGGGCATAATGTCACTGATAAAAAAGAGTTATCTTTTACCATTATAGTTATGTTAGCATTTATTACAAAATAATAAAACACAATATTTAAACAGAAAGGAAGTTTTGTAAAGGAAATTAGAAAAAAAGAGTTAAAACACAGCAAAAATAAATTCCTAGTCACATCGTTAATAAATTACACAATGAAATATGTTTTGTATTCTAGAATTATATAAAAAAATGATTAAAAATATCTTACATATTAGAACAACTGCCGTAATCATCGTGATTATTTTTCCTTTCATGTTTAGTCCCTTAACTCATATATTATTATAATAATTTCTTTTGATATTATCCTTTAAATATATATACGCTGATGGAAAACCATTTAGATATTTATATCATTGGCAATCCCTTTTCAGTTTAAGTCCTCTTTTGCAATCTTATTTGTTTATGTCGAAGGTAATTTAGCAATAGCTAACTTTTAAAGTTAATGTTGGGAACGTGACTTAAAGTGTAACCTACATAACGGACACAAATCATGTTTACAATTTCAAAAAATATAATGAGCCTTAACTTGTACTTTTATTAAATAATATGCACGTAACGCTGTTACGCTAGAATGAACAAAAAAAATGAGTAAAGTGATTAAGAGAGGTTAGAATGTAACATAGATTGGTGATTAGAGATCAGTTGGTGAAATATAAATGTTATAATGATAAAATCTTATACATAGTGTATTACACTAGACCGGTTTATCTTGCGTGAGTGGTTCAGTTTAACCCAATCTGAATGTTCAGTTGTTCAGTGACAACAATTGCAGTTGGATAAATCAAGATAGATCAATATAAATTACAATTATTTAACACTCTGATGCTATGTATTGGTCAGTTTAATAAAAAAAAACGTTTTCTGGAGTTTTCATATAGGCATATAGACACAATTAAAACTGTTCAATAAAATTTCTTAAAACTTGGCATGTTGTAAGAATATGATAACAGAAACAATTTAAGCGATAAGAAATTGGGGGTTACCGTCCTTGTTATTGAGTTATCTGCCCCTGAATTGAACGTTTTTAATTAAATCAAGGGCAGATAATTCACAATGAAGGTAAACAATACCTAATTTTGCTTATTTTATAGTTTACTTCTGTTTGAGACAATGTCTAAAATTTTAATATAGAATAAAGAGTGGATTGGCTTTTTTCCCCTTCTTTTCTAAACCTGTGACTTTTTTTCTTAAAAATGGCCATTTTGAAATAATTTCAAGACCCTTTATTCAAATTGAAAAAATAACAGAAATAAGATATGGAATAACCTGTAATTAATTATGTGTTGTGATTAACCATAAAAAGAGTAACATAATCCAGAAGTAACAACAAGATTTTATAGACATACGTATAAGTTATCTGCCCTTGAAATGACCTCAAATAAGTAAATTATTCTGATTCAAGGGCAGATAATTCAGAAGTGAGAATGGTGACCCCCCTCAATTATTTTCTCGCTTAAATTGTTTCTATTATCAATTTCTATCAACAGAAATTCGATAGAACAGCTTTATTTTTTTCCTATATGTCCATATGTGAAAACTCCCAAAAAAGTCCTTAATGAATTAAGCGCTTGGTATTTCAAACCGATGTCATTTCAAATTACTTTTGCAAGTACTGTTGATTTATTTGTACAATATCTATCAATGTAGGGTAAAAACTGATCAACCTTGTGACGCTAATGCATCCCGACAACATGAATCCACAAAGCACCCAGCATATAAAAATAAAAGATAAGGATAGTTTATTGTTGTTGTCGTGTTGTCCTATGTGTTAAAGCTGTCCTTTCTTGTTTTTGTTCTTTTGTTATAATATGAACAACCTCAACTTATTTATATTGGTAGATTAACATTTTACCTCAATCTCATTAAAATCAGATCCGTTACTCTTTGCTACGAACTTAGGGTAGTGAAGCGACAGTTAGGATATGATTTTAATGAGATTGCATTTTACATTGACTTCCGACAAAATAAGTATTTTTATTACAGCATAACATAAGTATTATGTTCGCACATAATTAATCTCATTGATATTCCATTGGTTTTTGTTATTATAAATGGTATACTCAGATACGTGAAACATATTATGTGGTATTTTAATGTATTATAATATTGTATTGCGGTTAACCTGTTTCAATGGTACGATCATATCTAATACGTATAACAATATTTATCCGATTTTTTTTTCACGTAGTCATTCACATAAAAGGTATATTTCAAAACTGACAATGACAATTTATTTATTGATATTGGCTACCGGCCTATTACAACAATATATACATTATGATATAATTTCTTGACCGGTGCCAGTACAGATACTAATCGTTATAAATGATACCATGTTCTTTGAAAAATTACATTATTTTAACTTGGTATGGAATATATTTACCGATGGCAAAAATCCTTGAATTGATATCATGATAATTATAAAACAGCATCTTTGGAATGGAATTATAATTATCTAGCTTGTAGCTTTACTAAGCAAATGATACCTTTTCAACTTAAATAAAAGTATGTTTACTAGAATGCTGGCAGACAATTACTCGCGAGATAAAAGTCAATTTACAACATTGCTATATGATATTTATCCATAAATAAGAAACTTTATACTTCAGAACCATTAACCTCGAAATATAGCAAATCATCTGGAATATAACATGTACAATAGTTAATAGTAAAACACACAAAATGTGGTTGAATAGTTTACCAAGGTGCGTGTCGATCTTAACGAAACACAAAATATATTAAGATCTTCATTTATAAATACTTTAGCCTTAACATCAAAGGCAATAGTGTTTTGATCCGTTCGTACAACTTTACCCGTAATGAAAATTAAATCAATTTATCACATCAGTGTAGACACTTATTTAACAATCAAGTTTCAAAATTGAAAAAAAATCGATAATAACAGAAATTTATTTTATTGTAGCCTGAAAATATGTCTTCCCTTCTTAAAGGCCCATTTGGTCTCAAAAAGCATTTTATATCAAAGACTGTTTATTTTTGGTGTCTTGTAATATGTTCTCAAAAGTTTGTCATTGGTCAAATAGCTGAGTCATTTATTCTTTGTTTTGCATTTTAGAGATAAGCACAGTATTTGCATGGAATTCAACACACACATTTTGCCGCATTAATCAGATTAGCGTGTTTTTTTTATTTTAAGTGATAAACATCTCAAACGCTCTATCCCTATTAAATACATATTTGCCCTTTCTACAGATAGAAAACAAAAATCATATCTGAGGCTTTATGTGCAATTAACATATTTTATATTGAATATTTCACTGTCAATATTTAATGAATGTATTCATGTCAATATTAATATCTCTACATTTATAAAAAAATGCCCTAATTAAGAAACACGTGAGAAAAGACACGTTTTTTATTTTATAAAATTTGTGGAAATTGTTGGAAAGGTTTTAGATTAACTTAATTTGAGCCGAAGCAAATTAACATAACAGTATAAATAAAGTTCCTTTTACAGTCTGTCTCATATCAAATGAGTTTTTGTCAACAGGGTGAGTATCGAAAAAAGTAATCTAAAGGTTTATTGTTCGCTACTGAAGTGAGTCGTTATTTTTAAGTGACAATTGATCTCAGACAATAAGTCTAGTGGTCATTTGTATCTCATTGCGTATTCAGAAACAACGCGGGATTAGAAGTCAGTCTCTTGCAAAGAATTTGTATTTACGAGTAAGTTCTCCAGGAAAGTCAGTAAGGTGGATCGATCGCCGAGATATGACATACACATGTATTAAAATTTGAGTAAAAAAAACGACAACAAAACAACAACAATAAAGAAACAGTTTATTATTTAAGACACGAGCGGATACCTCAGTGAGCTAGAATAAATATTAAATTAAATACTGATATGAATAAACTCACAAGAACCTTGCGATCCAAGATTGACTCAGAGTCAGCAGCCATACGCACTAGGCAATAGAAAAACTTGACAAAAGGTATAATGTAAGCCGAATATGATATATTTAAAATATAAATGCAGCCTAGATCTACACACTTATATCTGCTCATTTATTTGCAGGTTAACACTATGATGAAAGCGAATGGAAGTTTGTAAAAGGTTGTAAAACCAACCAAATATAGGCGTTAAGTTACATAAGAATTGCGATTGATAACAACACTGTCCATTTGGTTAACAAATTGTATCACAGTTCACAAATCAACGAACGACTCTATCTAAATCTGAGTATTGTGTTCGTCTACAACGAAAATAATTGCATCTTCTTGTCTTTGCTTTTTCGGTATTTTGTGCCATGGTTTGGTAAAAAACCGGTTTTTGCAATTAAGCCACTTAGGTTTTTGTGGTAGTCTTTTTTCTGTACTGGAAACACGTAATTGCCCCTTTTTTCCACTGACTTTTATACATTTTGGGCAGGGGCGTTCACTACCATTGCATTTCTACCAGTCGGAGATTGCACTGTAAATAATAAAAACCATATAAAGAAGTAAAAAATATTTGTAAGAAAACAAAAAGAAAACTCTAGATTTGCAATATTCTATTCGACGTGGTGAACTTTGAATTATTCGACTTACCGTTTGATTTGTTATGTTGACTTCTTCGGATAAGGCATGCAATAACAACACCGACGACAAGCACAAAAACCACACTGCCCACAATTGATGCAATTTGTATCGTGCTGGTACTTAAATGGAAAAAAAGGAAAACACATAATTGCTGACCTGTCAACTTTTAATTAGCAATATAAACACTTTGTAGCATAAAAATACATTTATTGCTTTAGTTCTATTCAGGTCGCTTTGTAAAGAAAACATAAGAGATCCTAATTTCGTTTTTGTAAATGAAGATCATAAATTTTCTGTTGTGAAATTAATATAGTAATCTAAATCACAATAACTTATGTAATTTAACTGACCACCTCTATTGTACATGCTGCCAGGCCCAGCATTTGTTTTTATGCCAACTTAAAATAAACTCCAGCTTTTTCACCAACATTTAAGGACGGAATTCAGCGATTTTCCTCGGCTAGTAAAGAATGAAAAGCCGTTGCCACACGATCTTTATAGCGATTACCAACAAACCAACTTATATCACATACACAATAAAGGCAAGTGATTAATGCAGACAATCTACTCGTTGATTAAGTAGTGTATGTAAATAATGCCTTTGAACCAATGACTCTAAATCTGAAATGATTCTCTTAATCACGATATGTTTTGCAATTTAAGAGATATCTAGCTTTTTAATAAAACCTCACTTCGCGCAGTATAATTAGACAAAGCAATATATGTATATATCAATTCTGTAATACTGTACATGTTTGGAAACAAAAGAATAAATGTCGTAATCCGCAGAATTTAAAATGAAGAATATTGCTTTATAATACGTTTACAACACAAAGCTTTACACATGGTGTAATGAGTATATGTATAGTAAAA